ACGAGAGAGGAGAATTGGGGTACAGGCCACCCTTCAGTCTTCTCTTTGATTCCTTGTTTGTTTTTCTTTGGCCCTGTGAGTCTCCCAGTAATTGCAAGTCGCCATGTTTCAGAAGCAGAGCCCCAAACCTGTTGTCTGCCTTCTGTATTGTGCAGACTTTAAATTGCAAATAAACTTGGTGATAGAATAGAGGAACTGAGGAAGACTGAATAATAGGACAAGATCAAGACTTGGATACTACAGTGCTGAGCAGCCTCAAAGCACTGATAACAGATAAAATCAAATTACCTGAATCTGGGTGTATTTCACAATTAAAAATAATGTTTTTAATTAAAATAATTCCAGTGGAGAAGGAAGTAAAATATACAAATCTTCAGCCAAGTTTTATGCTCTTCCCATAAATTCATGTGCGTCTGGTATAACATGCTATAAATCTGAAAGCTGCTATTAAGAGCCCACCGTAAGGTTTGTGTGAAGCGCGCTATGTAATACCCATTTTGTTACATTCCTCTCAATAATAACATGGTCCTGTCACTCCCAGGATAGACATACTGCGCTGTGCCCATATATGAATCATCAGGATGAGGTATAAAACATCAAGATCTAGATCTAAAAAAATGCTGAAAATGCTCTTTAATTTGCTCCGGTTCTGATCTATTTGAGGGTGTATTTATGATGGTAGAGAATCGCCCTCTCCCTCTCCTTACAGCTGAGGATGCTAGTAGACCTGAAGGTGACAGACTGACGACTGCAAGATTAAACCAGAGCTCTAACACCGAAAGCAGCGTGTGAGACAAACCCTCCTTCATCCAAACCTGAATTTCAGCGTAGGGCATGGCAGGGTTAATGGCAGAGCAGGTTACACTGGAGTTGTTTGGCTAGGGAGGAGATGGGAACAGATTGCCAAGGCACAATTACACTAAATGAAGGAAGCACAGGCCACACCTGTGCCTGGGACCCTGCGCTCGCAATCCAGCTCTGATTGGATCTCCAGAGACTTCCCGGAGGTAAAGTGTCAATTAGTGTAATGACCCTGGACTTTGTCCACTCCGTTCGCTCATTCTGAGCGTGGAATAATTTTGTGTACGCTGGGGGATCTCTTTTAGCAAACTCCTCACAACACCACCTGCTCACCCTCTCATTCTTCCAGTGCTATTCCCAGCTCTCCTTCTGCAGGATTGTTGAACTAGAATACAAAATGCAGCATGCCCCGGAGGCAGCGAGGTCTGGATCTTCATGCAGACAATAATGCCCAAACACCTGTGTAGATAATATCATCTTTTTTTGGAACAGAGAATGTAGCAAACCCTGCCCTTGCAGCCCAGTCCTGCATACGCATTCAGGGAAATGAGGGGACTCCATGTAAGGGTAAGAGAGGTTCCCAGCTCCATTAACAACTCAGACTGATTACCATGAAGTAATTATCCCCATCTTACGTACAGATTAAAGGCACTTTTCTCTTGCAGATTTTCTCTCCAAATGCACTTCTTGCGTAAGGCTGGAGACAGTTTTAACCTCCCTGTATGCAGTCAGTAAATACTTTACAAATCCCTGCATGGATATTGGATCTTGGTGCACATGGTGGAGCAAAACAGGTCTGTCTGAGCAAAACCTGAGCTCACTGGAGCGAAGAATGGGGATCTCCATGGAGCCAAGACAGGAAAACCAACCCTCACCGCCAGCACGGCTTTGTCTCTGTGTGACTCCAGTTGCACGTCAATGCCAGCCCCGGGGCTGGTGCCATCTCGCAGGCATTGCAGTCCCCTGCTATGCCTGGAGACTTGATACACGTCTGGATGAGGAAGATAGTTCATGTGTTTGAGGCATCTGAAGACGATCAGTGATGATCTTCCAGTATTGAATGACACCTTACAGCACTCGGGGTCCGTCACTGTCGTGTGCTTCAACACAATCGGATATGTTTTAAGCTAGTGTCAACAGGTTTAGCCAGCTTAAGAGCATGTTAAGCCCTACTGAGACAAGGTTTATAGGTTAGCGGTATGACTTGGAGCATAATCTATACATGTTCTTTAGCTTTAGCCAGCTTTGTACTTATGTGAGAAGTGCGAGTCTTTTATATGTGCCAAGCTGTTTCTATCATGCTTTGGGGAAGTCATTCAGCCTGTGCTAAATGCTGAAATAATCTAAAAGTGTAGAAGCTGCAGGGGAGAGCTGTTCAAAAACACCAGGAGCTGAAGTTAGGCCAAGATTTCCTGTCACTGCTGAGCTAGCTGAAAAAAACAGGAGTGTCCTGAACATAGGAATTAAAGCAAGGAGATGATTCAAATGACTCGAGCCATTTTGTTATACTGCAGCATTCATGTGTCTTAGGTTGCTAATGAGCAACAATACCGTGGATAAATGCAGTAGTTAAGATTATAGCAAAAAAGATTTTTTTCACTTCAACAGGACTGGCATATTTGGAGCAAAAAGCAGCAGTCGTGACAACATATTGTTTATCTTTCATCCAGAGCACAGCTGTGTTTTCCACTGGTCTGTCCAGATTATAGCTAATTTGGAATCCTATGTATGAAAAGCCGTTTCGATGGATGAAATTGGGCTATCTCTTTAGCACTTAAATATTTGCAAAGATGCTGTGGAGCTTAATTAGTTAGCAGCAACATTTTATCTTATGGGTCCACTTCCAAAAGAAGATCATAAATGCTGGAGAGATGACACAAGTATGTGACAGAAATAAACACATTAGATAGTTACAAAAGCAGCAGTAGGAGGTATTAAATGATTTGATATCTGGAGTATCTGTTAGACTCTAACAACTGATTAAAATATGTATTAATTCATATTAATCCTTAATACAAGGATCTTAATAAAGTGTGATTAGCTTAGGCTTGGAAGAGCTTTCAAATCCTGGCACAATAGGTGCAGTAGAAATCTAAAACACTGAAATACACGTGTCTCCCTAAACAGCATTTCTTCTCCGTTTCTATCACTAGAGTACATAGGCTTTAAAATGTTTCTGGCTGCCCCGTTTCATCCAGTCTCCAGCTCAGATGTCCAACATGCTGTGTGCATCCCTGGTACTTGCCTGCGGTTTTAGGCAGATTCCCTCGGTGCGTTTGTTTCTGCAGCCTTTTCTCTCCATGTGCAGGCTCTCCCGTGTTTGCTGTTCTCTGCGTGTCAACACAGGTTAGCTTTAAACCCTCTCTGCCTCTTTTAAAAATCTGTTTTGATTTTTTTCGCTGCCGGGCTGGCAATCCTGCGTGCTTGAAATGTGACCAGAGGGCTTCCAGATAAAATCTCGCCAAACTGAAAGGCCATTGTGCCACCGGGATGCAACACTGGCCGAGCCAAGTGATTGCTGCCTTGAGTGTCCTCATAGGGCTGTGAGTCAGAGATGGTCTTTGGCAGCTCCCAAACTTCTGCCTGTCCCTCTGTTTTCAGCGGTCTTTGGGGCAGCTGGCTGCTGCGACAGCTAAGGCGGGACGTGTGGGGAGAGGAGCGAGCAAATTTGGGAGCTTCGCAAGAACAGTCTGAATTTCAGGGTGGTCCGTACAGGTCACACAGCCGGTCCTGGTGATAGCCTCTCCACCAGGATACAGCTAGCTGGGTGTGAGAGCAACAGATTAGTTTGCTCAAGCTTGTCATTTCAAATTCCCTTCCGGTTCTCTATCAGCAAAGCTCAGGCCCATCCCCACAATCAGCTTCTCTCTGGATGGCTGCCGAGATGTGATATTTATAGGGTTTACTGGAAACTGTTGGCACATTACTGGGCTTCAAAATGTGATTGTTTTTCAAAGAAGGAAATTAGCTGGAGTGTGGGGCTGGTGGCCAGCTTGGACTGTAAGCAAAGGGAGCCTGAGGTCAGGACCAAGCTGCATTGTTTCTTTTATCTTCAGAAGCAATTTGCCGCTCTCTGTTTTTTAAGTGACTCTTCATGTGATGGACAAAATGAGATCATTGGGTAGTAATCCTCCATTTTAGAAATACTTGAAGTATTAGTGAAGTACACCCTGAACCACTTAAACAAGTACCTACTGGAGTAATTGGGTGGATAAAAATCTGGTAATTTATAACCCTGTAAGAGGGCTTGGAGCATGACAGATGGGTCTCAGCTTGGAATAATAAAGCTGCAATGGAAGAACGTGGATGGGGCAGAACCCTGGGGTGGATGTTGCGAAATGGAGGAGGTATTCTTGTCTTGGACAAGTCACTTCTATTCTTCTTCATCTTCCTGTTTGCATAATATTAGTTCATCTTACTTGGTGATTGTGAAGTTTTACTAGCCAATGGCCGTGTTTGAAGCCTTTAGCTTGAGAACAGCCTTGAAAAATAAAGTATTGACGTTACCTTTGTTTCCCTACAATAAATGCCTCTGAGTGATACACGTGTTACGGAAAAGTACTTGAAAGAGTGGAGGATGTATGTGCAGAGAGCTGGGTGACCTTTTGGGTGACACACCAGAAGGATTGCCTCAGCAAACTTCTTTATGTGCTAGCGTGGCTGGCAAGGTGCTTGTCCTGTGTCTAGGAAGTCTCCCTTGACATTCGCTTAAGGCGCAGCTTGAGGAAAACCCCAGAAGCACCCTTCTTTGTACATGCCACCTTTGCCAACAAGATCCCCTTTGGGAATCAACACGAGCTCGCAGCCTATCTGCTTGACTACGAAGCGACATGTTTGGGGCCGCTGGGACTAGCAGTTTGGAAAGCTGAAGCCCCATACTGAGAGATGATCTGCCAGGAGCCATGTGCTTCTTTGCTGGGGAGGACAAGCCATCTGCCGTCCTTGCTGCCCTAAGCAAAGCATCTCAGACCCGCAGCCCCCAGGCCCGGCCAGGCTGGACTTTCTCAGCCCAGATGCTTCATTGCCCTATGGACCTGTTAGGTCCTATGGGCAGTTAGTGTCGACTGCATGTTTACGTACTCTTCTCCTTCACTATGGCCCAGGAAAAGTCTTCTGACCTAGCTTAGTGACGTGGACGCTGTAATGATACCATGTACGAAGCCTCACTAATAACGTCTGTATTTTTTTTCACGTACTAGTTTTCCCAGCGATGAATACCAAAGGGCTATGGAGCGAATATCTGTCGTTGTCCAGCAGCACAAAGCAACCATGGTGCCAGGGGAGCCACAGCTTAACGTGTGCGACAAGGCCGTCATGGTGAGTGGTTAAAGCATAAATACATTTGAGAATCCTTAGCTTAAAATATATTTTGTAAAGGCTTTATAAAATGCCACATGATGCTGGGAAGGGATGGAGAAGAGATGCATGCTCACCTGTTTGAAGGGCTGTCTGGCTGTTCCACAGAGGAGAGGGATGTTTGTTACCTGCGGAACACAGCAGTGTAGCAAGGCTCATACAGAGGAGTGGGGTTAGGTCTGGAAGGTCTACCAACATGCTGTGATAAACTGTGGCTTCCTTCCTTAGAGATACAGCAATATCTACAGCTGTAGGGCCTTCTTCTCCTTTCTTAATCCCCTTCTGCAAATCTCAAAAGTCCTCTGTGTTTTGAGTGGTGGGACTGGGACAGTGGCTCTTTCTCAGTGATGTGTGTGAGTATCTTTGGTCTTGCTTGGTCTCCTCCAATTCTATCTGTGCCTGACTTTTCCAAAGTCTTTATGGCTTGAAACATGACAAACATTTACAATTCTGTTTTCTGCTTCAAATTGTATGTTGGGAAGTTACAGTTTGGCTTTCCTGTCAAATGCTGCTTGGTTTGTTGAGAAACTGCATGGTTTGTAGGAGGTAAAGTTGTCAGATGACAAGAGTGTGTGGAGTCTAAGGGGATGTGCCTGTAGACTGACACAAAATAGTAATAGGCAAAATCTTTCTGACACTGAAATAATCTTCTGAAACAAACAGTCAGTACCTGCTGCTTAGGGTCTGGCTCCAGACAGACAGAAAAGTATAAAATGTGGAGCTGTGTCTCCTTAGTGAGAAGGCAAAGATCTTTTTTAGCTTTGTCACATCTTTTTATTTTTGGATGTTAAGTAGGAAAAAGATTTGAAGGACCATTGTTTCTATGTTGTTTTCTTTCATTATTCAACTTTTCCCTTAATAAACACTATTCTGTGCTCCTCTGGGACCTTTTGGGTTCAGGCACTCTCCCCAGTGCCTGGCTGCTGCCAGAGACCTTCGCTGGAAAGGCATTTCTTCTGTGCTAACTCCAACTCCTAAACTGGTTCATAAAGTGTAGGCATACTCCGCTGTTCTGCAGCTACCCTGGGGCAGTGTTTTTAGGTGCTGTGAAAACATCTGGTATTCCTGTTTGTCAACAAACAGTGTCTTTGGATTGCATAATGGAAAAAGTGCTGCACTGGAGGTCCCATGCTTGGTCCTGTAACCCAGCCCTCTCTTTGGGGCTACTGAGAGTCAGTCTTCTCCCTGAGCATGCCTTGTTCTGTCTCAGTTGGGTGGAAGTTTTGCAGACCATGGGCTGCCACTTCTGCTTTGGCTATGGCAATGTCCAGGGCTTGGCCAAACCCAGTTATGCCTGCCTAGTCTATAAGCAGAGGAGCTAATGACTGCTCCAGTGCTTGGCCGAGCTCAAACCAGATCATTCAGGCTCTCTGAGGCAGAAAGTCCTCCTTGGCGGGCTTGGAGGTAACCTAATCCCAGGAGAAATGTTCAAATCCCAGCAGGAAATATTATGAGTTTTCCGTTCTATTCTATGTAAACTCCTACATAGAGTAGCTAATAGTAGCTTCCTACATAGGCTAATTACACGGTCACAAAACTGAAATAAACAGGCACCGAATTATTGCCTTTTGAGGCCAGAAATGAAGATACCCAAATCTTTTTGGAGTGATAGTATTGCTGGGGTTGATTGGGCCCTAGATCTGTCTTTGGGGGATGCTGGGAGAATCACCTACTAATACTATGCCCAACACTCTCTTCTAAATTGTCACCCATTTATTTGACATGGATATTTGGTATCCTTTCTGGGACAGAGAAGAATTGTCTTTACTTATCCATGAGCAAAGCAGATGGATCATTTTGTAGCTACTGCAGTCTTGGGATTGATGTAAGCGTAGCAGCAGCAGCCCTCCTGAGCAGGAGAAGTGTTTGCTGGCCCATCTGTGGTGTATTCCACCAGCAGTGTAGATGAAGCTCCTGCGGAGCCAGTTCTGCTGTGTTTTCCTCCTGTGGAAGTGGAGGAGAAATTGCTCCGTGGAGTGGAGCCGTGCTGGCTTGACTGCGTGTTTGACCTGCAGCACACATGGTGTCCTCAGGGCTCTCTGCACTTCCAGCATGGATCCAGGAAAGCCAACTTGGACTGTGGGACTGAAGCAGATACGATGTGGTTTTTTCAAAAGAACAAACATTTCATTTGTTTCCTTGGATCTCTATTTCTTCTACAGAGTGGTCAGGCGTCTGAAATTTGCAGCGGTGGTTGTGCATTTTAAAATTGAGAAATGGATTTAGAAAACAGCACTAATTGTTCTTAAACCGGCTGGAGCCCTTCGTGCAGTGAGGTGCCTTCTGCCAAAGCTCCCCTCCGTGGTCTGCGCCTTCTGCAGAGATAGCTGGTGTCTCACTGCCATCTGTTGTCAACTGGATGGAATAGAAACCTGCTCTGGCATTTTCTCTGGGCTTAAGCTTTTCTTTTACTCTATAGGAATTTAATTCCAAGAAAACGTAAATGACTTGAAGAATAAAAATAAATAAAATGAAAGGCAATCGGTCAGAGCTGAACTGGCTTTTAATAGGCGACAGCAGGAATCTCCCATGGATGGATAGACCTTGAGAGAAGGAGGGACAGGGAATGAAGGCAAAAGATTTCTGAAGGCAGAATGGGAATTGTAACCTGCCATTCACATTACCACAGCCCCAAATTTTAAATGGCAAAGCCCCATGAAACTGAAAAAGTTTTTGTCCAAATGCCTTCCTCCATTAATCCCTTTGGAAGCTGAGGTTTGCAGTGGGCTCCCTTGCTGATGTCGTTTCTCTGTTGTACATGTGCTGGAGAAAGGTAGTTCAAGAAACATGGAAACAAGGTAGGCAAATAGTTTTGGTCTGCATGCACTGGAGTAGTTGTCTCATAAATGCCTCCTACTCCATCTGTTCATGAATTCATCCATCAAAATGCTCATTAAAATACAGGCATTCTTATCTCTCTCACACCCTTGGCCTTCTGTTGCTTTTTGCTTGTCTCCACAAGAAAATGCATAGATATCTTAGTGCTAAGAACGAGAACTTGTTTGTGGATCCCAGGAAAATTGGGGGTTTCACCTCATGGTCTGCTTGCTCCACGCTACTACAGGAAAGAGAGGAAGGTCACCAGAGTCCCAGCAGACTGCATTTGTACAGGAGAGACCACTGTATCCCAGAAGAGGGAATCATCTGCTGCAGATTTGTAGTCTTTCCTAAAGCTTTTTTTGAATAGTGTTTGGAGTTGGGAAGTTGATGAGCCCAGGAGCATCAGCTGTAAGAGGAGTTTCATTTTTTCAAGCAGGACATAAGAGCGTCTTTGTGAGAACCAGAAAGGGTTGGTTAGGGTACAGGGCTTAGCAGATACTTGGTACGAATCATCTTTCTGTATACTTTTTGTTTGTTTTTAACAGAATTGGTCTCCTCCAGGCTGTGAGAAGCTAGGGAAGTGCCTGAAACCGCCCAAGTCTGATCCTAAGAAGTGCTTTTGGCCTCATTGATCTTCTCTGCAGCCCTCAAGAGCTACACAGAAAAGCTATAACCAGCTGGACATACAGTTTACAAAGCATGTCTTTTCACGTTGGCACTCCTGTTTACACAGGAAGGGTGTGATGTATGTATGATATCATCATTTGCTCTTCCAAAAGGGCCAGTGTTTATATTGCTAGTGCTCAGGGTTTAGCCTGTACTCTTGTGTTGTTCTGGTTGTTTCCGTAAATGGTAACTTTTCAGTGAAGACTGTTTCAACTGTAAAAGCTCTCTGGACAACCACAACTCTGCCATCACCTCAGAAATGCCATGGATGCACCTTTCCTCTTGCTTCTTCCACCCAACCTGCTCTCTCAAATCATTTTTCGTTCGGATGCCCCTACAGCAGCCATGAGGGACTGTTCAGGAAACTCACAACTGCCAGAAAACCCTGCCCAAACTGCCCTTGTTTTGTTTGCCTGTAACTTGTTGGTTTAACATTTGATTTCCATTGTGAACTCTGGACACCAACTTGTCTTTCCTTTCTCTCTAAACTTGTGAGTACCGGGTGCAGCTGTACAGCCTAGACTGCTGCTGTGCATCGCTGGGTGCAAACAAGTGCTACCTCCCGTTCCCGACTAAGGGGTTGGCTCCAGGGAGAACACCCTGCCTGCCTTCCATCTGTAGCTGCAAACATTCCCTAGGTAACGGTATAAAGAAATTTGAAGATGGTGTTCATGTAAGTATTGCCTTATTGATGGTGGGCAGGATGTTCTTGTGGAGCTGGGGGTCAGTTGTTCATTTCAGGGGTTTTCTTTGTTTCAAAAAATCTGGGTCCAAATATGGTTTAAGTCACGCTTCTAGTCTCATGATCTGGGTCCAGCCAACTGCAGGCTCAGAAATGCCCATTTACATCAGATGTTAACTCTTGACCCTGTTTCCAGTGTACGCTCTCTGAGGAATTCTCCTTGTGCAAACTTTCCACAGCCTGGGTGTAGCACTTCTCTAAACAGAGTTCATGGTAAATGCTGGTCCTTTGCACAAATTCCACATTGCAGATTTCTCATCTGCTTTTGAGCCTGTTTCACACCCTTCGCTATTGCTAATTAAACGTGTCTCGAACAAAACTGCACAAGGTTACTCTGGGGCTTCGGGGGAGTAGTTAGAAGCAACCTTGAACATGCTGTTTGCACCACTGACAGCTCCACTTCCACCCCGCCAGTGTTTTGTACAATACACGTGCCCTCTCCGTATGGCGTTGGGCTGCCTTGGGAAAAATTGAGGTGCTCTGTACCTGTAAAGAGCCCTACTTGCTTCCCAAGCAAAGCTTGGGGCTGGCTTGAGATGGGTTGAGAGCCCTGCTTTTCTGGTAACTGCTGTGCTACTGCCTGCTACGGGCTTCTCAGCTGCTTGTTCTTACCCTCCCTGTAATCCCAAATGCTCTCATTCTCTCCATTCCCGTGGTTTATGCTACCTGTAATCCCCTCCACAGTATTTCCTACTGTATATCTCATGAAGCTGGATAATCCTATAAGATTGTAATAAGAACAGCACTTGAGTCGGCTCTTACTGTTCCACCTATCAGAAATCACAGCCAACATTTCATCGGCTAGCAGAGCCTCTGAATCTCTGCGCATCTACAAATGGCATTTGTTTATAGTCCAAATTTCTTAATTGCCTTATGATGTTCCCAGTTGTCCTTCAAGTGTATCAAGGCATTTCCAGTTCATCCATAACGTTTCTCCTTGTTTTGATATAGTGCGGATAGCTCAAGTCTTGGGAGATTCTGATCAGTCTATTCTTCAGTGATGCTGTATGAGAAGGACTGGTAGGAGGACTTGCAGCAGTCGTGTGCATCTGGCAGCACAGGAGACCAGACAAAACCAGTAACTTCCCATTTTCTGGGGGCTGTCCACATCTGCTATAGCGCTTTAGCGCTTGTGTCACCCCAAAGTGTTCAGGACCCTGCAGTTCATTATTATCAGCAGATGAAGGTACCACCAGAGGAGGGAGTCTGTCACTGCAACTCCCTGAAAATCCCTGTCAGCCCTCAAATAGTTATGAATGTATCTGCTGCAATAGTAACAGTGCTTTGTCTTTCTACGTGCTGCTTATTAAGAGATTGCATCGCAGGATCGCAGCTCATCGTCTGAGCACTAGCCCAGACATGTTTCTTGGTTCTTAGCATTTGCAGTATGCACATCGTGAGCGTACTGGGTGCCTGCTACCCTGCGTCCCCTACCTGTCTGGCTGCCACTTTGTTCTTTACTCTTTCACAGCTTGCAGTTTTGAAGATAACTGCTTTTCCCCTGCCTGTGTAACTTGCTTGGACAAGCCATCCTGTTCTCAGCATGCATGGTGTTTGTCTGGTTACCCAGCACACAAAGTCCTCATTCCTCATTGAAATAATCTCTCCGTGCATAGATACTGGATGTAAACTTTGCACTAGAAAGCTGGCTGCTATAAGTGAATTGACTTGACGTCTGTTTATTATTTGCTTCATGTCCGTTTATTGTAAAAGATCAAAGCTTAATGTGAAGAAGCTACTGCTCTAAATTTAAATAAGAATAGTAGTTTTACAGCTGGATAGCTAGGAAGAATTTTAAATCAATGCCTTTCCCAAAGATGTACAGGTTTTAAAGTTGCGAGATGAAGAAATAATGAATCAAAAATAAACTATCAGAAATGCATTATATGATTTGTCTGTGCGCACCTGTAAAACAACTAAGTAACACCTTGCTTTGGGACAGTCTCACAGATACGCCTTCCAGATCATGGGACTGGCTTGGGTTAAAAATAGCTTGTTTTGTTTTCCCTGTATTATTTTTAACGTGGATCAATTTCCCAGCCCACGCAGCTGCCCAAGTACAATTCAGAGGCTGGTGTGGGGACCAGGGGCATACGTGGCCTGAGGCTGCATCCACCAGCACAGCCGCAGGGATGTGTGGGGCAGCTCAAAAACACCAATACGTGCCGTGGATCACAAAGCGGCCACCACGTATTGCCACGTCTGCCCTTAATCATTATCCTGAGCCTCTGATCTGAAGTTGGTCTGTGTGATAGTTGCCCAGTTCTGGGAACTGCCCGTACTGGGGCAGGTGTTGGCTTTGCAGGAGCTGCCTGTGGGACCTGCCTGGGGTTGTGTGTGCAATAGCGGTCGACAGAGGAGTGGGTCTGGTGGGGTTTACTGGCCGCCAGTCAGGGACCTGCAGCAGTGAAGCGGGCTTGTTGGTAGCTTCTTTTCTCAAGCTGCAAGACATAAGAGCTAAAGGAAAGATGATGTCTTCCTAAGACTGCTTCTATGTGATGTTCCTTTCTTTATATTTAAATACATCTGCTAAATGCTAAAAGCTTAATATCTGCTTGGGCTAAGAGTCCAAGGAATTTCTTTCTTGCCTTTAATTTCCAATTAGCTGAGCCTCTCGAGTCCCCCTGCTCTGCCCCTGAGGCTGTGTTATCATCCAACCCTCCATGCAGAGAAGCTTCTGAAATTGATGTAGCTAATAATCGTGGAAAAAGTCCTACTGCATTTACAGTCTACGGCTGCAGAAATGGAGCCTTGATTTAAAATCCTGCAGCGACAAATGGATTATTTCGGTGGCAAATTAGTCTCTGAGGACCAACAATTTGGGGATCTGAACACTGGAATTGGAAACCAGAAGATCAATTCCGAACACTTAGAGCCAAGGTTAATGCCCTGCAAACTGTATTGAGTGCAATGATGGAAGATAACATGCCTCTGCATTTTAAATGGGAAGCCGAGGAACACAGTATAAAATGTAAAAATGGGCACGTTTGGAACAGAACGAGAGCGAGCGATACACACATATTTGCTAATAAAACGTTATGTGGTGTCTGGGGACTGAGTTTTCAGGCAAGTGCTGAGGATGACAGTGGGCTTTTACTAAAGGAACGGAAACTAATATCGCCGAGAAGGAGCCTGTTGAACTTGGGACACTTGCTGCCACGTGGAAGCTGGCAGTTCTCGGTACCTGCTGAGTCGAGCCTTTCCCGAACGTGGTGGACAGCTTCCAGAAGCCTCCTGGTTTCACATAAAGTGAAGCAGACAAGATGAGGATCTCCCGAAGGTGGGTGAATACTCTTTATTCCAGTGAGGACATTCTTGCAGTCACCATGCAAAATAATTTCAGCAGCTGAAGAAAGACCTTTTGAAGGTGAGAATGGTTTGAATTGGGGCTTTGGGGGGAAGGCAGTACTGGGAGGCAGTTTATTGTCTGCAGAGTTGCCAGCAGCCTCTTCAGCACAGCTAGATGAGAAACCTCTCCCCAGGGATCTTGCTGTTGTCCTCACCACTGGGAAACTTTACAAACTACATGCACTCTCCAAGAGTTACTCTTGAGTGCTTGTTCAGTATCCAAATAACTGTTCTGTAGTTAAAGTGGCTTGTTTTCCATTTCTCTTCACAGTTACAATACTTGGAAATAGACTTTTGCTTTTGTTTTCTGGTAGTATTTGATGTGAGTTTTTCATATGTTATCAGAAAGTGACACGGCAGTGCCTCTTGAATTAAACTGTTAGTTTTTAAAAACAGTTGTAAGGGAAGAACTGAAATCCCATTTTAGGTTCTTTCTTCCTTTGGAAAATAGCTATTTTAAACACCGAGAAAAGAGTCCATTTGCCTTTTTTCTTTATATCCCCTTCCACCGTTTATAGTTTTGTTGTTGCTCGAAGTCTAGTTCGGATTATATAAATCCTAAATAAAGGTGGATCCCTAGCCAAAAGGCTGTCGTCTCTTAGGAGTGAAAAAAAACCTCTGCCATCCAACTTCGAGAGAGAGCCAATCTGGCAGCTCTCTACACCTTTGTCCCTCCTGAAGTCACTTAATACCCTTCTGGGCGATACGTAGGTTGGTAGCACGATTCCCATCTGAAAGGGATAGGGGCTGAAAAACCCGCCAGCCCCTTCGCCAGCAGCAAGGAATGCGTGCCAAATCCATTAGTTCTGGATCGGGCTCAAAATCCCCTCCCGGCTCGGCCAAGCTGGCCAGAGGAGAGAAAGAGAGAGGGGGTTTGTGTCTTCTCCAAGGGCCTGATCCAACCTGCTGCAGCGGGCAGGAGGTGCTGGGTTCAGCTCCGTGCAAACAAGGATGCTGTGGAAGGGCAGAGCTGGTTCACCGTGCTTTCGCCTCTTTTAGGGGGGGACAACGCTAGCTCGTTATTCAGTACGGATGCTTCGGTCCTGAGCCCAGGGAGCTGGCCGGAGAACTGCATTCTTCTGCTGTTGAAATAAGATATTTCAAATTTGTTTTTTAAAAAAAATGGGTTTAAAGTGCATGCGTTTCTAAAGCCGAAATTGAAACGAAATGTTCCAGCAGATTTGAAAGGAAATTTTAGTTCTCATTTCCCCTTGTGGGGTGTGTTGAAATTTTGGGCATTTTGTTCCACTTCACGCTGAAGTTTTAAACTCCTTAACGGAACAGAAACTTCCATACTTGGCACAGCTCTTCTAATTGCCTGCTTAAGCTGATTAGAGTTAGCTCTCAAGCTTTTATACCCCCAGTTTCTATGTTCACCGGCTAATAACATCTCTCATATCAGGATCTCAAAGCACTTTTAAATCACTGATCACCTCTGTGTCCAAAAGAGAGGCAAAGCCAGTGTCCCCCTGCTACAGTACAGGCGGTAGTTCCTCTGCCAGGCACAGAACAGCCCTAAACCTCTCCGAGCTGCAAGCGGATGTTGAGACACCTCCCCAGCGATATTCCAGAGCCGAAGTCCTTTGACATCACATTTGGAAATTGGTCCTAGGAAAGTTCTTTTCCGATGGAAATTGCAGCAGGAGTCAGCACTGTTGTTTGAAAGATTGAACAATTACAGGGAAAGCTAATTTACTTTGGACGTTAAAAACCAGTCTGTACTGGTAGGTGCAATTCATATCCTTTGAAAGGGAGGATTAGTGAGGTGAAGTTCTGACAGAGATTTGAGAAATGTTGTTTTTAAACCTGAGCTGGCATGTGGCATTATTTCTGGCAGCTGAATCATTGGAAGTCCGATTTGGTATAACCTTTATGTTCTTCCTGGCAGAACTGATGGTGTTTGAGAGGCCTGATCCTGCATCAGAGGAGGAAAGATCCCCCCAGCTGCTTCTTCACCCAGCTGCTGGATGCGAAGGGACCGGTGGGAGCCCTCGGCAGCTCGTGCTGGTGAGAGCTGCTGGTTTGCCCGGGGTCGGTTGGCATGAGGGCCCTGGGAACCTTGCTTAGCCTGAAGAAAAATGTGGTGGTGTGTTCTGCTAATAACGGTGGTGATTGTGTAGGAGGGTCACAAACAAGAAAAGTGCGATGAAGACCCCAGCTTATGGCTCCTCCATTAGTGAGAGGCAGAAGGCAGGGTTGCCTGGTGTTTGCATTGCAGGCAAAAGAGCCCTTTCCCAGATCCTGCTTATTTCCATGGGTAGGCAGATAAATTCCGTCACTTCCATCTGCCAGGAAGAAGAGGAGTTGCTGGAATAGCTCATTGTCCGGTATCGTGGTTGGTAAGGTTACAAGAGAAACCCTTCCAGCTCATCCAAGGGAGTGAGGGTGTTGCAAAGCTGTCGTTCCAGTGGAAGGCTACGTGCTTCGTCCGTGTTTGCTTCACTGAAACAGCTGCTAGAGAGGATTTTTCTGGTGCCAAAGAGATAATCTGACTTCAGGGAAAATCTTAGTCTGTAAGGGAATGGTTGTGGAAGGAGGCACGCTGACCTCCTGTGCAGGCTGTCTCTGGCAATAGAGAGCTTAACAAGAAAGGGAGCAACCTTTGCACTGGCCTTCAGCTTGTCTCTCTTTGTACATCAGGCAGACATCCATTAAGCAGGTGTCTTCTGCTGTCTATAGAAGAATTAGGAAGAAAATAGAGCAGTGGAGGATTCGGTGTACAGCAAATAATTCCCAAGGGTTTGCACCAAGTACTGGCAACTGTGCAATGGCACAGGACGTGTCGGATGCTGGGATGCGGGCAGAATCGGGTGTCTTGTGAGCCGTGCTGTGCATATGAGCCCGTTGGAGCTAAGCTGGAGGGGAGACCAGCTTCCCCTCCTGTCGGCTGCTCCTCCTGTGCGAGAGGCACCTCTTGTAGCAGGGGAGGACCCACAGGGCTGTTGGGAGTGACTGGTCCAGCAAGAGCAGGAGAAAGCAGCTCTGCGTTCGTTACCAGGCTGCTGCAGCCCTCAGCACTCAACCCATGGGTTCCACATCAAATCACTGCAAAATACCTGGATAGCTGCTGGCACGCTGTCGCACGCCTCGAAGACCGGTCCTAACGGCTGTCTGGAGGGTGCGGAGCTGAAACCGTTCCCATCACAGCTATCAGCAAGCACTGAGCTCGGCCAGGGGTGTTGCGCGCTAGAACTGCCTTTGCTTTCTGCAGCGGGTTGTACCCAACTGCATTTGGACCAGATCCAAGTTGTATTTGCTAATGTAAGAGGAGATCTGTACTCATTCAACAGTACGCCTCCTGGCCGCAATGGGTTCTGTATGGGCAAACGGATATTCACCCACCGGGCGATGGGAGATAGGAGCTGTGCAAGAGTGCCTTGACCTGCCATACGAATGAGTGACACCAATAGCTGCTGAGCTGTTAGTCCAGGACCGAGGGCACTCAGACCGGCTGTGTTATCATCCCCCATGAGTGTAATCCAAACCAACGGTTTTAACAAACAAAATGCGATTTCAGGGGTTCATAAGAGGTGATGAGGGACAGAAAAGTAGGAAATAGTTTAGTCCTAACAAGCTTGCTATCTATGCGCGGTGCAGGCCAGGGGTGAAGGGGGGTGAAAGTGTAACCCCTGGGCACGGGACCCCTTTCCCAATCTGGCTGGGGCAAGGCAGGGTCCGAGGGCTTCATACAGCGGGGGAAATACGGCTCCACACACTGCAGGTACCAGAACGCTCTTCAGAGGGGAAACTGGGGCTCCACGCAGCGGGGTCACCCAGGCTCTCTGCAGCAGGGTACAGAGCACTGTGCACTGCAGGTGTCCGTGCAGTGTGCACCCAGGTACCGGGGTGCTGTGTGCTGGGATACCTGGGCTCCCTGCACCAGGATGCCAGAGCTCCGTGCTCTGGGGTAGCAGGGCTTCGTGCACGGGGGGGATTGGGGCTCTGTGCACTGGGGGATCGGAGCTCCATGCACTGGGGGGACTGGGGCTCTGTGCACTATGGGATCAGGGCTCTGTGCCCCGGGGTACCAGAGCTCCATGCACTGGGGGGACTGGGGCTCTGTGCCCTGGGGGATCGGGGCTCTGTGCCCCGGGGTACCAGAGCTCCATGCACTGGGGGGACTGGGGCTCTGTGCACTGGGGGATCGGAGCTCCATGCACTGGGGGACTGGGGCTCTGTGCCCTGGGGGATCGGGGCTCTGTGCCCCGGGGTACCAGAGCTCCACGCACCGGGGCTCGGGTCCCCGCACCCCGAAGCCCCAGAGCTTCCCCCACGCCCCGCGGTACCGTCGCTCCGTGCGGCCGTTCCCGCCGGCCTAGAGCCGCCCTCGCCCCGCCTCGCCGGGCTGTGCGCGGCGCTGCCGGGATGCGCAAAGCCGGGGCCGCCATGACCCAGGAACGGCTGCGGCTCGTCCGCGAACGGTTGCGCTCCTTCCCTGACTTCCCGGTGCCCGGCGTGCTTTTCCGGTACGGACCGGGATGGGGCCAGGCCGGGGATGGAGCGGAGCCCGGGGGAGGGACGGGGGGACGGGGGGGGTTTGCTGCCAGCGTCCCCCCCCGCTGCCCATCCTTCCCCTTGCCTGCTCCGGGCAGAACCCGCTTCCCCTGGGCTTAGGAGCAAGGTGCTAACTGTTCTCCCTCTCTTTGCAGCGATATCAGCCCTTTGCTGAAGGATCCTGCAGCTTTCAGGGCTTTGCTTGATCTTCTGGAAGATCATTTGAGGGCGTCTTTCCCCCAAATCGACTTTATCGCAGGTGAGTGTTGGCTGAAAGGTCTCTGAAGTCAGAGCACCGTGTGTGTCCTCAGGATGCCCGGGCAGGAGGCGTGGGGAGACTCCTCTGCTAATGGGGCAGCAAACCCTGTACCCCTTGGACACTGTAATCGCTCAAATATTGGCCAGCACCGGGACAGGTTATACCCTTAACCTGCTCCTGTAGTTTCCCGAAATACTGGGTTTGGATCTGGCAAACGCCACCTGATGACGCTTCGGTGCCAATTTCGTAATTCATCGCTTTCATCGTTAAAAAACGAGTCGGGGAGTACAGAAAGCCTGCCGTGCGTGTAAGGTCTCGCGCGGTCCTCGCGGCAGGCAGACCCTGTTCCAGCACGTTTTCCTTCTCAGGGGGCCTTTTCAAGCCAAGAGAAACAGCCTTTGTGGCGATAATGTGTCGCAGCACACCTATGAAAGAGGCTGAGAATGAAGGTGCTTAGGAAGGCAGTGCTTGGGCTGGACGATAGCCCAAAGGTCAAGGAGTCTAGACCAAACCCGGTCCAAGTGCCTCATGATAACTGAAGTCTGTCCCCCGGCGGTACAAAGTCCCTGGTTGTGTGGCCAAACTGATAGCGGGGTTTTGCTGAGCTTATCTCTAAGAACGAGAGCTAGAGGGGAGGCAAAATGGGCAGATGGGGGGATCGATGCGGTGCCCCGAAGCCCATCAGCAGCACATCTGGGTGAGCACAGGCAGCGCAGGAGTGTGGTGTGTGTTTTCAACCCACAGAAATGATTGTAAGAGCAAACTGCTTCTAGAGACACCCCCCCACACCCCCCAAACACAGGAGGATAAACCTGGGGTATTGTGCAAAGACACCCCCAGTCGAATGGCTCTGTTCTGAGTATTCGTGCTGCTCTGTTCCCCCCAGGCCTGGACTCCCGTGGCTTCCTCATAGGCCCCTCTCTGGCTCAGAGACTGGGGATCGGCTTCGTGCTGGTACGGAAAAAGGGGAAGCTTCCCGGTCCGACCGAGTCTGTCTCCTACGACCTTGAGTATGGCAAGGTAATGGCCAGGGAGGAGAAGAGGGTTTCCAGCCTTCTTGATGTAGGGCTGGGGGGTGTCAGCGAGGGGACGGGGTGATAAAACCAGCGGAGGGGTCCCCAACCTGGGTTTCACAGCCAGTGCTGATGCCACGGGCAGTCTGGCATCGCACAAGCTTCAGAAGCGGCACTGAGCTTCACCGTGCCCCGGCATGGCGGCTCCCTCCCCGAGCCGCAGACATGCGGTTTGTGTTGGCGATCTGCGCTGTGATTTTTGGCCGGGGGGGGGGGGGAATGATAAGACTTGGCGCTAAATTGCTTTCTTTGGCTTGAATTCAGGGGCATGGACATGGAGTGTGTTTCCCACTCTTTCAGTAAGTGCTATAAGTAAATGCCTTTATTGCACGGCTTCAAAACACAAGCGCTCGCCTCGTAACACCGCAGCCTCTCAGATTAAAGAGCAGAGGTATAAGCCTAATAACACGCTACCGCTGGTAACTAACAGCAGCCAGGGACTGGCAGCAGAAACACCAAACCTAGGCATTATTTATGAGGATTGTTTGGGCCAACCCTTGCATGGGACAAGTTCATCTGACACAGGACGTGCCTGTGACAGTTTGGATCAGGCTTGGAGGTGCTGTCAAGGCAGAGCGCTCCAGCCCAGTGCATTACAGGAGATTTTCCTCACTGGAGAACTGCTTTGGGATATGGTTTCACAGTGGGACCGTAACTCACTTGATGAATGTTCAGGATCTTGATGTGCCAGAGGGTTGGCCCAGCAATCACCTAACCCACTATATATTTCCATGGCACTCCCCTATAGCTGGAGTATGTGGTTTTGGGGGGTTTTAGGTGCTGAGTGTTAAGGTTGGTCTCGCTGAAGACTTGTCTGCATTCCACCATGTGAAGTGTTTCTCTGTAAGACAAGACTAAAATGAAGCTACTCTTTCCACCCTGCAGGCTGAACTTGAAATCCAGAGTGATGCTGTGGAACCGGGACAAAAAGTAGTTATTGTAGATGACTTGCTTGCAACTGGAGGTGAGAGAAGCAGATGGCGTTAGAGCATGTGTAACCCACGTATGCATGCGTTGGTAGCAGCAGGCGGCATGGCTGTGGGGTTTGAAGCTTACCTCGGCACTGCTCCTCGAGTGACAATGTTTCTGCTCAACCTCTGTGTCCTGCAGGTACCATGTGTGCAGCCTGTGAGCTGATGAAGAGGCTGAAGGCTGAAGTCCTGGAGTGCCTGGTGGTCATAGAGTTAAAATTCCTGAAAGGGTCAGAAAAGCTCAAATCCATCCCTTTCTACTCTCTGCTGCAGTATGACTGACGAGGAGGAGGGAGAAGGAAATGCACGCCCTGAGCTGTGCACAAGTTTGGGGCTTTATTCGGTGACTCTTGTTGTCACAGGGGGGTGGGCAGGGGCGGGGAATCTAAAATTTTGATCCTGGCCAGATGCTATACAATTGTAAGTCCTATTTATTTTCCAAGCCACAGATTAAGGTGTGTTGAGTGTAAGGATCCTTTTTGGAGTTCATCCTTTTGGGAAGAAAGAACAGCCTGATTGGTTTGGGGGATGGAGACCAAGATGCAGCTTCACTGAGTATTTTTCTTTTAGGAGACCAAAGTGAAAATACTGCTGCTGAGGCAGGAGAGGTCTGATAGCTTAGTGGGCCCAGCATTCCCTTTCGGTCGAGCTGTGCCCAGTCAGCCTCCTAGGAACCCATTAGAAGTTTGCCAAAGAAACATGGAAGATGGGCAAAAAGTGATTATTTGTCTAAGGGATAAATCCCTCTGTATTTGACCTCAGAGGATGGTCTGGTTGCTCTCTGCTGTTGCTCAAACCAGAACAGGTTGCTCTTACAATAAGGTAGTGCTTGTTAAGGAGAATTAAGTGACTGCCCAGCCGTGTATCCTGAAATCAGGAGGCAGCCACTGCCAACGCAATGGAGGTTGCTGGTCTAGATGAGCTCGAGCACCATGTCAGCTTGCAGCTTGGCTCGTGGTCTCCTTCCCTTGAGACTGCGAGAAGCTGAAGGTCTCTGTTGTAGGAAGCCGTCTGCCTTCCCCTGGTGCAGGGTAGTTCTTAGCAGCGGACTTCAGAAAACTAGGAGCAATCTACATCACGAGAAGTAGTACACAGCTGGGCGACAGGCAGTGAGGAAGGGGGCCCGTGCACATGCTCAGGGCTGTTTACCTGCCTTCTGTCCAGCAGCACTAGCACCTACCAAAGCCTGCAGTCCAGCCATGCCTGGCAGCTTTTGTTTAGCACAAATTCCCCACTTACTGCTATGTGACTCCTCCCTGCTGTGTTCTTGGGGCATCAGGACGTTGAAAGGACAATGCCAGTTTGGAGCCCATTCTTCTTGGTATGTTTGGTGTCAGATAAGGCCACAAGAAAGAAAGAAAAGGTGTTAAGGCTTGCAGCCGAGCTCTGGCAGTCGCACTCAGGTTGTGTGATGGATGACGTGGGCTTTGGAGATGCTCCCTATAGCATGGTTCAGTTTGGTCACAGGAGCAGCTAAAACCTCGTGTGCCAAAACTTTCACATGCCTGCAAACATTAGGGACTGTGTCCCTGGCGTAGCAGGGGCTAAACTCACTGGTAAAATAAATGTTGACTTACTTTTATTTTTTCTAAACTGTCTCAGAGCTGTTCTTGCAGTAGCTGAAGCCATTAATTACCCTTGTGAGTGTCTTCCTCCAAACCCAGGCTGTCAGTGGAGAGCAAGGCTGTGGCACGATCTCCCCTTGTCACCCCAAATGCTTGGAAGGAATCGCTTGCCAGAACTGAGCAGTTCAGGTATCTTTTCTTTGTGCCTGGCACCAACCTCTAGCTGGAGGGGGGTACTCAGGCTGGTCCTGCTGGATTGCAGTAGAAGTGCCCAGCGCTGGTGGGAGTATCGATCGAGCCCCCGCAGCTCAGCTCACCTTCCCCAGCCAGCGCGTAGGGATGCCACAGACCCTGCCCTTACACTTTTAAGGGCTATTACAGCTATTTTTATCACCGTTTCCTGAAAAGCCACTTCAGTGGCTGCTCGGTTTGTGCTGAGAAACACCATTCCCCCGGGAGAAACCTACCCCAGGGCACTTGTTTTCACAGCCAGCCCCTGCGCAGAGCCAAGGGAGGCAGCGCCTCGCACGCATACTTGGCACGAGGAGAGGGTCCCTGCTGCGAGGTAGAGAAGGGAAAAATTAGTTCCACCCCAAAGAGCCGTGGAAAGCAGCTGCACGCTGTGGAAGCGAGCGTAAAGCCCTGCCAGTGCCAGAGCTGGCTGCGTGCGGGGCCAAGGGGTGACATCAGGGAACCAGGGGACGGTGCCTTCACGTCGGCCGGGCTGCAAGCAACCATTGATGTAATTTGCTTGTAGAGACAAGGCTGTGCAGGGGTGGCTTCCAGGCAGGAGGAAGGTTTTTGTCCCAAGCAGCAGAACAGGAGCTCGCTGCAATCTCTCATGGGGCACACGTGTGCTTGCCAGGCTGCCGAAACCGGCTCCTCTCCGCTGCGCCATTGAGCATGGCCGATAGCCCAGCCTGCGCCCAGAGCCCAGCCTTGAACCCCAGCCCTGTGCCTCCCTCCAGCCTCTGGGCTGGGTTTAAACCTTCCTCCCTGGAAAAAAGGGTTACCTCCGGCCAGCAGTGCCGGCCAGCTGGCCTGCAGGATGGCAAGCAGGGTCCTGGAGGAGGAAGAGGAGGAGAGCCTGCCTGCTCCCTAGGGCAGCACTACAGGGATCTCCAGTGCTGCCAGCCTCCGAGAGCGACGCTTTAGGTGCGGAAGCTTCCCTGGACCAGCGTGGATGAAGGGCAGTCCCCTTTCTGTGCAAGTCCTCCATGCCCCATGCTAAAACCAGCCGAGTCTGGCTCGGAAAGCGATGCGAGGCATGCCCGACGTGACACCGGGCAGGGGCAGGTCCCACCTCCTCCCTTGCACCCACGCTGCCCGTCCTGCAGCAAGAGCTGACCTGACCTGGGCGCTGGGCCAGGCCAGCACCTCTGCAGCAATCGGCACCCTCTTTGTCCCTCTTCCCGAGCCACTTCAGCCAAGTGACCTGGGCTTTCCCCAGGGAAAAAGCCCCCCCACACCCACCCCCAGCCCTGCCTGCTCCTGTCCCCGTGGGAGCTGCTCCACAGTCCCTATTTACAAAAGCTGCATTCAGTTCCCTGCAAACCCACGCTCACTTTTTCCAGTAAGTCTTTCTCCAGGAGCTGGATGACGACCCAGCCCTTCCCTGCGTGTGCCGGCCGACGCCAATTGCCATGGAGAACCACGGTGCTAACGCGGCACAGACAGGCAGCTCACGGAGGAAGAGCACTGTGTTAACACAAGTCAGCTATATTTAAAACATTTAATACAAATATGTTTTGACAAGTCCTGTAGTTGTTTCCAGCGAGCACTGGAGATGCGATTTCCCTCCCTTAAAAACAGAACAAGGCCCAGAGCTCCAAAAACATCAATTTGTGACTTCTTCTCTCAGTCCTTCCTGCCTGTCACCCTCTCACCCTGCCCAGTCCTGCTTCCACCCCACCAGGACCCAGTTAATGGAAGAAACCTCCCGTATCAAACCAGGAGAACACAGCAAAGCCGAGAAGAGGTTACTAGCTCCTCTTCACTGCTGGCATCCTCACCCCAGGACACAGGACTGCCTGCCTTCAGCTCAAGGGTTAAGGGAGCTACGGTCCTCATGGACCGTGGCAGAGAAATTCGTTAAATTAAGGCGTTTTGCTCTTCCTCAGACATCCTTGAGGATGAGCCTCCCATCAGCCCACACCAGATCGCAGAGCACGGTCGTTGCTACATTTAGAGGAGATTACACAGGGGAAGCCTCGACCCTGGGGGGGCTCAGAGGGCTTCTGCCTCCTTTGCCGCCTTGGTGAGCCTCTCCGTGACGAGGCCGAGGTCCTTCCCTTTGTCCAGTTTGATATAGGTATCCGTCCTAATGGCGTGGATCCCCACCCAGTCGGGCAGCAGCTCTGCGAAGAGGCGCAAGTGTTTCTCCATCTCACCTGCGAAAAGGAGCGACAAGCCGCCGGGTCAGAGCTCAGCTCCCCCCCCAGCCCCTTCCTCCTGCAAAGACCCTTCCACGCCCATGAGATTCCCCCCTCCTCGCTTTCCTACCAGGAGGCATCTGTGCATCGTAGCTGTCAGCCATGCGGGCACAAGCCACCTCCATGGTCAGCGCCTGCTTCTTCTCGGCCACGAAGACGTTGCGCAAGATGCGGGCCATGGCCGGCAGCCGCCCCAGCATGGCGAGCCGCTCCTCCTGCTGCGGGTCCCGTGTCATCAGCGCCTGTAGCTTCTGTGCCTCCTTCGCCCGGATCTTGGGGAGCAGAGAAGATGGGGTGAGACACAGGCAGGTCATGTCCCCCCTCCCGGCACTGGCGTTACGGCCAGGACCGAATTACTCACCCTCTCGAGCAGAGCCTGGGACACCCCTTTCAGAGCGCTGGAGGTGCTGGCAGGGGACGGTGCTTTGGAAACCACCAGTTCCCCCGCACCGGCTTCAGCGGTTCTCAAGGCCAGGTTGGCAAGAGCTTTTTCCATCTGCTCATGTGGAAGAGGGAGGAGGAGTTGGGTTACAGCTGGGAGTCGCTTGTGCTGGAGGAAGGAGAAATTTCCCCTCCACCGCCCCCGCCACCACCCTGCAGCCCAGTACATCTGACCCATCCCTGCCACGCAGAGGACAGTTTTGGGGTGCTTCATCTCTTCTCCCAGCCCCAAAGTCACTCCTGACGGCTCCTCTAGCTTGAAACCAGCCCTACACCACAACCTGCAGCGGTAACAGCCAGGCTTGCATTCCCACCTGCCTACATCTTACGGTGCTCTGAGTCCTGTGGCTCTGAAACAATCCTTCCCGAGCCCTATCCGGTAACATCTTCCCACAGAGCCGGCTGGTTTGACATCTGCCAGCTGCAGACGGAGCCAGACCCTGGTCCTGACTCACCTTGGGGGTCAGCATCCCCCGCGCCGTGCTCAGCACCTCCTGAGCCGTGGTAAGCCTGTCCTCCTGGGGTGGCCGCGGCAGCTCCGCCGGGCTGATGTCCGGCACCTCGTCCACTTTGAAGCGGGGATGCCAGCGGGTCAGTTTCTCCTCCGGCACCACCATGGGAGGGGTGAGGGCAGCCAGGAATGCCTGGAGAGGGGCGAGAGCTGCGTCACAGCACCTGCGGGCCAGGTACGGGGGAGCTGGCCACTGCCCCGCGCTCCCAGTGCGGCTTGGCAACACATGGCAGCTGGCTTGGAGGAAATTCAGAGCCAGGAGAGATTCCATTTGCCATCCTCCCCACCCACACCTGCCTGCCAAGAGCATCCCACAGGAACCAGCGATGTCCTTCAGCCTGGATCCCAGCCCGCTCTTTCCACTGATTCTCTAGATAGCGACTAGGGCAACCCCAGACCCCAAAAGCGGAGGGTGCCGGAGCAGGGGAGGGTCCTCACCTTGTGGTGCTGCTTGACAATGTTCACCAGGTTGCGGTTGAACTCCTTCCTGCGCTCCAGCAAGCGCGACGCCGACAAGTGCGGGCGGCCATCCACCTTCTCCTCTGCAAGGAGAGAGACACAAGCATCACCTGCGGCATCAAGGCAAAGCGCGGCAACACCGCGACGGGGCCCAAACCTCGAGAGCCTTGGGAAGGACAGGATCAGAGCCCGACCGTGGGGCCGAGTCGCTGCCAGAATCACCGCCCCATCATCCTCCCACTTGTCCCAAAAGTGTTTTCCCCTTCCAACACGCTCAGGCCCTTCTGCGTCAGATGATTATCTAATGAACTGAGCAGAGAGCATCCCTGGGGATTCAGGGATTCCAGCCAGGACCAAGCGCACCCCAGCTCTTGGGGGCTCCCCCTCAGGCTATACATACCTTCCCCCAGCACCGGCTCCAGCGTGAGCTGGTAGTCAGACTTCTTGACGCTGTTGCCAAAGGTAGGGATGTTCTTCTCCTGGCGCAGCCTGTACGAGGTGGGGTATACCGCTTTGATCTGCCCCACGTGCCGCTCCTCAAACTGCCTGCAACAGGACCCGGAGAGGTCAGGAACCCCAAGGGCTGACACCGGGGCATTGGGCCCGACAGCTTCAGCTGGGACCCCAAAATGGGCTGCCCGCTGCTGCCGACTTACTTGCGCATCATGTCCTGCACCCCCTGCTTGACCTTCGCAAAGGTGATGGTCTCAGCACGGTTGAAGAGCATCCCGGCGATGGTGTCCACGCTGCGGAACATCTCCGCCAGCACCTTGAACTTGTAGGGCAGCGTGAGCCCCGGGGGCTGGTCCTGCGCGAGGGTGTGGAACCGCTGGTACGCGGGGGCCTTCTCGCTGCCGGGAAAGGAGAGGGGTCAGGGTCCCCCGCACACAACAGCCACCAGGCATAGCGAACACGGTCCTGGGACGGCACCAAGGGTGCAGCCAGGGACAGAGACCAGCCAGAACGGGGGTCCCACTGCCAACAGGGCTGACCTCAGAGCCCAGGAGCCGCGTGCCCACCCCAGACCCCTCTCCACCCCCCCATCCCCAAACCCTTATCTGAGCAACGTGTGCCAGTACCTGGGTCACATCACCCATCCTGGGGACATCGATGCCCCGACGCTCATGGCAGAGTCAGGGTGGCTTGGACTACCCTCAGAGAAGCCCTTTGCATGCAGCGGGGCCCGCCAGCGCACCCACAGAGCTCCCACACCCCTCTCACTGGGGTGGGAAGACCCCTGCAAAATCACTGTGAGGCTGAGCAGCCGAAGAGGGCTGCAGCAGTCACCGGGACACCCCAATTTCCCCTCAAATCTGGGGCTGCATCCCCAAAGCCACTCCTCACCCGGCCTCTGCCGCCAGAGCTGCCACCCCAGTGTCCCTGGATGGCTGCACTCCTGGCGTGGCTCCGCTTCCCGCTTTCTTCTCACGGATCCGCAGCTCCAGTTGCCGCACTCGCTCCAGATGGCTCTGCAGGTCGGCGCTGGCCCCGGCGGGGATGGGTGGCAGCTGGGCTAGCTGGGCCAGCGTCTTCACCCTCCGCAGGCGGCACCGCAGCCCGGCCAGGTCCTCCTGGGTGGGGAAGGGGCACACGGTCAGAGCGGGGCTCGCACACTGGCAAGAAACACAAAAAACCGGAGCAGAAAGCCAGGCTTGTCCCGTACCTGCTGCAGGCGCCGGGTTGTCCCTGGGGGGGCTGTGTCGGGCTGTGTCCCCCCATCCTGTCCCCGGCCGGGGGAGTGGGTGGTGCTGGCCGGGGGGTCCGCTGCCAGGTCCAGCGAGGGTGGCATCAGGGGATGAGCAGTGGCCGGAGGCGAGGGGCTGGTGGCCTGCAAAAGTGCGGAGGAACGTTAGATGTGCAGGGAACCCACCCACCGGGACCCCCTCCCCGGTGTGTCCCCCCACCAGGGCCTTACACTGGGGGGGGGCGTGGAGCCATAGGGGGGGTCCGCACTAGGGACAGGGGGCAAGCCCTGGCGGGTGTCTGCATCAGGAGAAGAAGGGCAAGCCCTGGGGGGGAATGGCTGCACTGGGGTGGGGATCAAGCCCTTGGGGGGGCTGCTCCGGAGACGCTGCCCCCGTTTTACCCACCCCCCCGCCCCGTTTTAGGGCCGCAGCCGCGGGGAAGCGGCCCACCCCCCACCCCAGCAGTTCCCTACCGCGGCCGGCGGTCCCGGTTCCGCATCCCGGTGCAGCTCCAGCCTCTTCCGCGCCGACTTCCCGCTCGGCTCCCCGGGCCGGGCCCCGACCGATGGTTCCGTTTCCATCTCCCGCCGGCTCCGTTTCCTACCCGCCAGCCCCCGCACCACCGGGGAACCGCCGCCGCCGCGGGCCGGGGTACGCGGCGAGCCGGGCAGCGGCGGCGGGTGGGCGCTGAGCCCCACCGGGGCACCATCCTCCTCCTCCTCCTCCACCTCCCGGTGTACCGGGGGACCGGCAAGGGCGGCCTTGAGCCGGCGGCCGCCGCCGCGCTTAACCGGGGCTCCGGTAACCGCCTTCGTGCGGCTGAAGAAGTCGGTGAGGCGGCGCTGGGCCATGGCGGTCGCGGTCGCGGTCCCGGTCCCGGTAACGATCCCGGTCCCGGTAACGATCCCGGTCCCGGCGCGCCGACACGTGCACCCGCTCTACCGGGCGCGCCAAAGCCTCCGCGCTTGGCGGGAACCCGCGCGGCCGCAGCACCGCCCACCGCCGGGGGGGGGAGTGGTGGTGGCGGCGGGAGGAGTCACGTGGTGCGGAATTGGCGCCACGGGGTTCTTAAAGGCGCCGTGCCTCCCTAGAGCTGTGCTCCACGTGGGGGTCGGGAGGGGATTGTTCGGTTGCGGGGGTTCAGAGCCGTTCCGGCGTGGGGGGCTCCGACCTTGCCCGGTGCCGTAGCGTCTGGTTCAGGGGACCGTCTGCCCACTACGGGGACGGAGGCTTCCAGGCCCTTGGCTGGTGCTGGGGGGGGGCTGCAAGCTGGGGGACCCTGAGTGGGGCAAACGGCATCTGAAATGGCGCTGGGTTGGGGGTCACACCTCTTACCTGCCCTCCCCGGCGTGCCCGGGGCCAAGCCCTGCCCAGTTCCCTGCCAGAGCTCTGTGGTGGCTGCGGGGTCCTTCAAGGGACGCTGCCGCTGCTGCCTTCCCCCACATCCACGGGTCCAGGCAGTGGCCGTCCCTCCAGCTAGGGACAGCCATGGGAACAAGGGGCACCAGCAGCACCCACTACCCCAGTATCCCCCTGCCCCACAGCGTGGCCGTCTGCTAATGGCACTGCCCGGACGTGGGAAAAGCTTGCTCGCCCATAAAACGCCTCGCCGGGCACTCAGGCCGTACCCGCAGCACATTACGGGACCACGCCGTTCTCCAGCATCTCTCTTAAAGGCTGAGCGAGGCCGGCAAATTGGAGCAGGACCACTCAGGGCCGGATTCGGCCGCGTGAGGCAGGGCTCTGGGGTGCCGTTCCCTGTGCCCATTTACTTCCACAGCCTCCGTTCCCAGCTCGGGGCCAGGGCTGGGAGAGAGACGCCGGTGTGGGTGCCATGGACCACCCTTTCCTGGATCCATTCTGGGTGGGGGAGATGCAGCCCTGGGCTTTTGCAGCGGTAATTTCCATACCCGGGTCTCATGGACGTGGTAATGCAGAGCCTCGTGGCTCGGCGCTGACGAGCGTTTTCATTTACACGAATGAATCCCTCCGGGTCCCAGCAATGAGGGTCGATGCGGCCGGGCAGAGGGGACGAGTCCCTCCTCTGAGAATGCTCAGAGATGGTTTGGGCACCCACAGCCTGTCCCAGCTCCCACGAGGGGCTGTGCCCAGCAAAACTCATCTGGACACCCGTGTTTGGGGGTTCTCCGGCCTATCCTGCCCATGGTTCGGGTGCTACGGCATGGGCAGCGGTGTCCGGATGGCTGCGGCTTCTGCGGCACATCTGGGGTCCAGGTCTGGGTGGGGGGGAAGAGCCCCGAGAGTGCCGGAGGGAGCCGAGGGAAGAGAGTGGAGCCCGCCAAGGTGGGGAGCGGGCCGGCAGCGTGCCAGCTGGGTGCCAGTTTATTAAGTATGTTCGGAAAACAAGCGCGGGGAAGCTAAAGAATGCGGAGAATTTCATGGGCTGATGCTTCCTGGTTAGGGCCCGGCAATTACCAGCACTGCCCGGTGTGCTGCCCGCTGCCCTCGCCGGCGATGCTGCCCTCGTCGCCGGCTCTGCCCGGCACCTTCCCAGCCAGGGGCTGAGCTTGGGCTACCGGCGGTGAGCGTGGCACCCAGCTCCCCTCATCTGGGCACCCAACTCCACGGGTGCGCGGCCACGTATTTGGCTTCCCCAGGGTCTGCGGCGCGCACCCAGCTCCGTCGGCACGGGACCCAGCTCCCAGGGGTGCGCGGCTGCTCTCGGGGGAGCACGCCCGAGCACCCCGCTCCCGTGCAGCGCCGCTGGCTGCCCGCAGCGGCTCTCTGCCCCGTGCCGCATTGCCGCCCCGGTTGCAGGGCTCCGCGCAGGCATTACCGAGCCCCGGGCCGGAGTGCAGCACTCAGCCTCAATTAGCTCTGACCTTTTTTGTTTTTTTTTTTCTTCTTTGTTGTTTTTATGAAGCAAACAGGAAACACATCGGCTTTTTTTTTTTTTAATTATTTTTTTAGCTAGATTTTTTTGTTGTTTTTTTCCCTCCCCAGCCACCCTCGCTGCCAGTGGCAGGAACCGGGGTGGGGTGGTAGTGCGGGGTCCGGCTTCTCCCCCCCCGCTATCGTCCCCGGTTCCGGGGATCCGCCCCCGTTGCCGTTTTGGGCTGAGACCGGCCAACTCGTGGCAGCAGTGGCGGGGTTGCAGTGCCGGCGGGC